TCGGCGCGGGGGGCCTGACAAGCCTCCTGGACCCCGAAGTGAAGAGAGAGAGAGAGAGAGAGGCTGGTCGTGAGCCCGACAAAGACTGGGGGGCCCATGTGGCCAGGGAGCCTGACCAGCTCCTTTGCCCCTGTGGAAGGAGAGAGAGAGAGAGCTAGAGGGCATTAGAGGGCTACCGATTCGGTGTGCGAACGTGAACCGGCCACTGGACTAGACCCAAGGCGCAAAATTCAGCGAGACAGAGAGAGAGAGAGAGAGAGAGCTCCCCTAAACGCCCAGCAAGCAAGCACTAACCCTGGCGAAAGAAAGAGCTCCCGTTGTGCAGAGGTGAAGGACACCAGGAGGCAGAGTCAGGTAGAGGATATCATTGTCACTCGATTGTGGAGTGTAGCAGTCGGAGGACTTGCGAAGTGTTCATGTCTTTGTTGAAGTGTGGCCGATTTGCTACTCATTCAAGCCGCCGGGATGGGGGGCAGAAGGCTTCTTTTTTCTTGAAAGAACCACCTCTGGCTTCACGATTACCTCCACAAGTTGAATCACGTCCTTGAGTCAGGATGTCTGGGACTCCAAGCAGGTCACCAGCGCCGAAATCATCTTTGACGGGCCCGGCATTTTCAACGTCGATGGTGAGGCACTAGGAATCTCCCTTTTGCTCTACAGCTAGCCTCCTCCGTTTTGCTGGCTGTTGAGAACTGGGCACCCACAGCCCCACAGCGCCCTTCGGACTTTAGACCTCAAAGCAGAAACAAGCCAGAGGTTCTGGAGCATGATGGCATGCTTCGCATCCGCGTTCTGCCTGCAGCGCTTCAGCTGCTCGTGCCGCGGGCGTGGTTGACCATAGTTGGGCAGATTCAATATTTGGGGCGGGGGGGGGGGCATGGTGCTCCAGAGGCTCAGAGGCGTCGAGCTTACGTCTTCCTTGCCAGACTTCAGCATCTCTTAAGCGAGCTTTGCTGTTGAATGAAGTCGGACACTCCAAACGAAGCCAGCAGCCTTAAACTTAAACCCTAAACCCTTAAACCCTAAACCCCAAACCCTAAACCCTAAAACCCTAAGCCCTAAACCCCTAAACCCTAAACCCCTAAACCCTATAAACTCTAGACCGCCGCAAGTCCCAAGTCCGCGTGTGATGTGGCGCCAGGTCGGTAAGGACGAAGCCTCCTCTGCCGGCCCGGCCGAGGAGGCGCAAGGAGAACTTTGTGCGGGTTTAGGATTTTTTTATGTCGGGCTTAGGAGTTTAGGGTGTAGGGGTTTAGGGTTCAGAGGTTTAGAGGTTTAGGGTTTTGGGTTCAGAGGTTTAGGGTTTAAGAGGGGTTCAGGGTTTAGGGTTTAGAGGCTCGGGGTTTAGGGTTTAGGGAAGGCAGCAACCTCTGCAGGCTGCTTTGCCCACGTGGCGCGCTGACCCGGCACGATGGCGGATGCTGCTGCTCTTCATGTTCGGGTGTATGGCGAACCAGGCGGGGTCCGAATCGTTAGCAGACCCTAAACCCTGAACTACAAGCCCTCAACCTCAAACCCTTAAACCCGAACCGAAACCCGAAACTTTTAAACCCTGAACCCTAAACCCGAAGAGTTCGTCAAGTTGGTGCAACATGAGCCAGGCCATGTGGATTGGCTTTGCCCCAATCGAAGCTGATGTCATGAAGGACTATGGAGTATCTTCAACATATGTGAACTTCCTATCCCTGGTCTTCATGATTGTCGCTCGTGCTGCAGGCTGAGGTCCCGAAGTTCGTTTCGTGAATCTCCGTAGTAGGCTCATTAAGTCGAGTTAGCCTGTGCTACTCTATGCTCTGCTTCTCTAGCGGAAGAGTTGCAAAGGTCTTTCCAGAAGAGTTATCATGTAGCCTCGTCGCTGCGCTGAGGTGTACTTGCCGGCCAACTTCCCAGCCTCTTACGCCATGGACGTCTTGGGCTGCCGATGGGCCCTGCTAGTGGGTGGCTGCCTCCAGACGTTTGGAGCAGTCCTGAGGCCTGAGGCTGAGAAGTATGGGAGGGCCCGTGATGATCATCCCAAAGTGCTCATGGGTGCCTTTCTCCAGGTGCCTGCCTGCTGACCCTGTCACCGCCCGGTACCTGGCATCTTGGATGAGCTGACTTGTGTGATGCAGTGCGATGCTGTTTGAGCAAGCATGATAAGCATGAACGTCGATCAGATGAACAGACAAGCCCGTGCAGGCGTCGGGTTTCCAGGCACAGGCGATGACTCTGACAACCACGCACACGAAGCTATCGGATTGGGAGAGACTGCCCACCTCGTGTAGTCTAGAAGGGGATATCTGGGAAGGAGGCTGATGGCCAGACTGACCAGACTCCTCAGTTTCGGTTAATGAAGCCCCTTGTCGGACATCTCAGCATGCCATGGTAAGACCGAGGTGATGGCTGGACAAGCACTGGCTGCTGTGGGACAACCGTTCTTCACTGACATGCCGCCAAAGTCATCCCGGCTCCCGTTGAAACATGACACTCACGCTACTTGACTTTGAGCGTGCCAGGATCGCGGCAGATTGGTTCCCTGCCTACCAGCGCGTGTTGGCCGATACGCTGGCTTCGACGCTTGGCATCATGTCATAGACTTCTCTACAGGAGCAGAGCATCAAGTTGCTTGAATTCTCAAAACCGGTGGTGCATTTGCTGCTGCCCCAACTGGCTTGCTTGACTCGATGATTTCTTTCCTGTCATGGAGGCTATCAATTTCTGTTGGTGCGGCCGTGGGATTCATACTGCCGGCGACGCTGGGCCTTCGTCAGATGCTTTACCTCCACCTCGCCTGGTCGGCTTTGTGCCTTGTCCGGACTCTGGGGGGGGGGGGGGGNNGGGGGGGGGAACTCGTCATTTTGGCATCTCCGAGGTCTCTTGCCCTCACCTTCCTCTTCTTTCGTGCGGCACCGGCCACGCCTCCGAGCCCCAGGAAGCACCACGAGGCAAGCAGAGGATGAGGTTTCGCAGGTGTTTCGAATGGACTCTGGTTGCCGTGCCGGGATGTTTTGGGTGCTTTCACATTCGCCTTTTTTGGGGAAGCACGCGCCAGGGCAAATCCTTCGGCCTGGAACTTGCAGCGGCACTGTCCAACGGCAACTTGCAGCTTGGAGAAGATTAGAGGAGTAGCAGTAGCAGTAGCAG